TATATATATATATATATCCTATATATATATATATATATATATATATATATAATATTCTTAAGAAGAAGAGTACTACATCGCACAACATAGTTGCATACCACACTTACACGAACTTTTTTGGTTGGTGTTTGTTCCACATTTTCCGAGCGAATACTTCAACCCTGACAGTATGTAGTGAGCGTCATGACTCAAAATGTATGTGCGAAAGTGACTGCACCCCTTTCGCCTTACTTCATTGACCTTCTTGTACACGTGGGCCAACTTTACATATACTGTCGTAATGAGGACAGTGTCCTTGTCAACAATTAGAAACCAGGGTCCCCACTTAGATTCATAGGTTTTGGAGACAATTATGTCAAATAATAAGCTCGTCACTGACTAGAATTTATACCTTTAGTGCTGTCCAGGATGACCAACCGAGTGAAGAGATCAATGGCGTAACTCTTCAATGGGTAGAAGATCGCATCCACGTTGTGACTGTTAAACCAAAGTCTCGAGCCGAACGTGCAGGTCTCTTTGTTGGCGATGAAATTCTCGAGGTATCCAGCGCAATATAATTGTGGATATGATGTTTGTACTCCGATAGCCATTTCAGCGGTATATAGCTGCATTCTCGGGCTTTCTATACATGCGCAAACCCACGACTGACATTGTAGCCTGGTAATTAAATACAATAGGTTAATGGTGTGACGATAGATATCGGATATCCACCCGAAGCCGTGTCAAACTTACTCGCAGCGTCCGGGGCCGTAAAAATAACCATCCGTGATGGTCCCACACAATCGCTGACCATAGAGAGAGGCCACGAGAGAGAGAGAATTGGCATTAGTTACGATGGTGGCTTGGTAAGTGCTCTTCGCATATATCGTATTGTCCATGTTCATCGGCATTTTATATGCATATCAGTTTTATCCATCATACAAGATACTGATCCTAATATAAAAAAATGAAATTCTAACACTACTGCACTTTTGCTTTGTTGTCTTGACCATCGCAGGTCACCAGGACCGCGCCTGATTCGCCGGCAACTCGACACCGCGTACCCACGGGTCTTGGCATTGTAGAGGTGAATGGCAAGTCTGTTATGGGCAAGAGTGACAAGGATATCATGCGCAAACTGGACAAGACTAAAGGAACTTTGAGTCTGACGCTTATGGATGGCGCCCTGTCATCTGAGATTAACCGAAACATGTCGCCAAGACCCAAGGACGTCCGACGAGTGGGTACCCCTCCCGCCATTCTGTCGCGATCGTTTGAGGCTCTCAGACGATTTAACTAGATTTTGGCATCTACTGCGTTATCTTTTACCAATATACTTTGTAAGATGTTGTTTTAGCACGGCTACTCTTGCTTAGTATCGCCGTGTTGCTATTGAGAAAGTGCGCAGTATATCCAATTCTACCGATAGTTTAAAGTTTGACACAAATCGACATTATTGTTGTCCACACCCAAGGAAGTTGCCTGACAACAAAGCTCTAGTACAGTGTGTGGCTGGCTCCGTAGGATGCTAACAACAAAGCGATTGTGAGTAAAAAGCATATATATGTATTCAACAACAGAAGACAGGTGACGTGCAAACCCGACCGTGATTCACTGCACTTATCTATCGGAAACTTCTGTTGGTTTGCATACTATCGGTGGAAAGTTTCATATAGCGACCTCGCAGCCCCGATTTGTAAAACAAAGGGTACAGCTACTACGACTCGACGTTCGAGCGGAGGTATCTCAGTGCAAATTGAGCATAAAGGGGCAAGTATCGATTTTTTAGGAAATAAACTCGTAAGCCCTAAATGAACCTGTGCATTTGAGTTTTGACCTATTGTGATATTTGACCTCCACTTCTGCGAAACTGCGATACATATTCATTCCTTGCATGCTACTAGCAAGCCACGATAATTTTTGATTAAAAACAAGCCACGATAATTGTAGCCTCAGTCTGGAAGCTCTAGCCTAATAGCACAGCCCGAGTTACAACGATACAACACCACGTGCAACGTGCTTAGGCACTACCACGGAAACGTGTGTTTCGTCGTCCTACAGCATGCTTCTAATCCCATTTTGCTCGAAAGGTTCACATGCAGTGAATCACACACTTATAATATTCACTAACTCAATATTTGTAGGTGATATGATGTATGCTTCCAACGAAAAATAGATGGGAATGTGTTCTGCAGTGTTGCATTCCTATATGGTATTACATTGTGCATGCACATTTAACTATGCCTAAATATATGATAAGTGTATCTGGATGGTTGCATGGATTTGAAGGCGCAATACTTATATATTTAAGACCCTAGCACTGTTATTAGCAACTACCCGACCACCTGTGCACCTACAATCAAGACCCCAACACTGTTGTTAGCAACTACCGGACATCTGTGGAACTATTCAGCCCATGGAGTATATCGCGTTCTATTAGTCGGTGGCTAAATACACTACACCATTCAGTCTAATCTGCCTAGTAAAGATCTAACAGTTTGCACAAGTATAGTTCGAATAATCGATTCTAATTATATAAATGTGGATCCTTTTTTGTTTTCGAGTACAATTTCGTACACATCGAGTTTACTAAACATAGGTATGTGTCTCCGTAGCCTCTCATGTTAGCATCACTAGCTGATCTGGCAGTATATATCCTTTAATGCAAAAATAGGCATTAAGGCTTGTTAATTATCCAATTTGTAGGAAGCTGCATCGAAACTGGAACTTACTCATCGTAGAAAAAAAACTACGATTCACAGATGAAATTCACAAGCAACATTGCCAGGGAAGAAGGCCGAAAGCCAGCTGAGCGAACTAAGAAAGATCAATCCGCATACAATACATCGCTACGCATACAATAATTTAAAAAAACATACATACATATGTAGTTATGTACACTTGTATACTATAGTACACTTGTATTTATTTTATTTATAACGCAAGCGTGTCATTTATGAAAACCTAGTACTGACATGGTGAGTTGGTGACAGCTTCTGGTGGCATTTTTTTAGCGGGCAATATGCACTGTCATAGCCGCCTACTAGCTAGAGGAGCCTATGACTCATATCGGCTGTGTAAATACCTCATAGCCACTCCTAAAATATGTAAATATTTACATAAGTAGAACAGATACACGAGAAGAAAAAAAAATGCTTTCTGTGTGTACACACTCGGAAATTATTGTGCATATTTGACTCTTTCATGAACTGATATGTATCCATTTTTATATATTTATATCTATACGTTAAACGTGTGCTGATACTTTTAAAAATACAAGATGGATTACGATGACTTGGAGCCTTTAGAGGGCACAATTAATAATCTGCTGGAACAAGTAAGCCTGAGATGGATCTTTGTCGGGGGAAAGGGTGGGGTGGGTAAGACTACCAACAGTTGTAGTATTGCTGTGCAGATGGCTAAAGTTAGGGAGAGTGTGTTGCTTATCTCTACCGATCCTGCACACAATCTCAGCGATGCCTTTGGTCAGAAGTTCAGCAAAGACCCCAGGAAGTAAGTCGCGAGTTAAGGCTTGTGAATATTTTAAATTTGGTGTGCACTTGGGTGAGTTTGTCGCATATTCCCGTATGGTTGGTTCAGCATACGCTAAATAATGTGGACCCCGTGAGAGGTCTGGAAACTTGAAGGTATTTCAGTCCAAATTATGCCGATTTAGGTCAATGTTTCAAGTAACTAATGAAACAGCTATGTGTACAATGCAACAGTTTTACTGCTACAGATAGGTGTAAACATGCGAGCATCCACCCACGCACCCACGCACACACGCACAAAAATAGTCGTATTATATATATATGTATATATATATAGT